ACGGCCTCAGACCTCGTCAACGTCAACCAGCTCAACTTCATCGCCTCCCAGGAGGAAGAGGCCAAGGTGCCGGGAGTGGGACCAGGACCGGGATGCTGTTGCCGACGGTAACAGGACGCTGTTGCCGACGGTTACGGTGACTGAGTGTGTGTGTGTGTGTTCCCACAGGCCTGGTGTGAGGAGCTGTTCTCTCTGTCTTCCAACCTGCTGAGCCACAATCTCAACAGAGACCACAGTCTGCTCAAAGCGTGAGTCTGGACTCTGTCCTGGAGATGTTTTCTTCTTTTGGTTCTTTGTTGAGGATTCCTGGTTGTTGATTCCTTTAGGGAGAATCGTCTCTCATGACTGATGATTGTGGTTTTAGCACCAGTAGGAAATGCAACAATTTCCTTAATCCCATCAAGGATGACTCTCCCATTTTTGTGTTTATCATTGAAATTGTTTGACTTTCCCTTTGTGCCATCATCACTCATCTCCTGAGAAGATTCTCCTTCTGGTCCGTCCACATTGGGCCCTTCCTTTCTCCTGAGAATAAGCATAGCTTTCTTCCTTTTGGAGATTCTCCATGGGACTTCCTTAAGGACTGAGGTTTAAATCAGAATCTCTTTGTTTGTTGCTGATAACAACGTTGTGCCCTTTTCCTTTCCTTTATCCAAACTAAGTCATATAAGGGGACGTGCCTTTAACCTGAGTTTACTCTGTGACCTGCATCTTTGAATAAAACACCTTTCTTGGACAAGATCGATCTTCTCCAATGATTAAGAAACTTTGCCTCACTCATTTAAAGGGGACTCTCAACTCAACTTTATTTATAAAGCGCTTTCAGTCAGCCAAAGCTAAAATCAAAGCGCTGTACAGGCCATTTGAGCGAATCATAAAACACAATTATCACATCCACACAAGACAAACTCAAAGATTAAAAACAGTAAGAGCAGGGGACGTATTATGCAAAAAGTTATATAAGGGAAGGTTTAGTGTGTGACCTGCGTCTTCGAACGCTGTTGCCTTCTAACAAATACCTTTATTGGACAACATCAATCTTCTCTAATTTATAAGAAACTTTGTCTCACTCATTTAAAGAACTGTTTCCATAACAACACACACATCCGGCAGGCAGGTTTTTGGACGAGGCACAGTTGGCTTTGGTGGCCATTTTCAGAAGTTGGGTCTGGCTGTTCTTTGGGTTTTTACTTTACTGGTTTATTTTGGGGGCGGACCTTTCTGGGTCGGAGTCCCCGGGGGAACCAGGACCAGAGGGTTCTGGGTTGGAGTCCCGGGGG